ATTGCAACATTTAAAGCAGACATTGCAACATTTATAGCAGATATTGTTACATTTATAGCAGACATTGTTATATTTATAGCATGCATTGCAACATTTAAAGCAGACATTGCAACATTTATAGCAGATATTGTAACATTTATAGCAGACAGTGTTACATTTATAGCATGCATTGCAACATTTAAAGCAGACATTGCAACATTTATAGCAGATATTGTATTATCTATAGTAGACATTGTAACATTTATAGAAGACATTGTAAAATTAATAGCAGACATTGTTACATTTATAGCAGACATTGTAACATTTATAGAAGACATTGTAACATTTATAGCAGACATTGTAACATTTATAGCAGACATTGTAACATTTATAGAAGACATTGTAACATTTATAGTAGACATTGTTATATTTATAGCAGACATTGTAACATTTATAGCAGACATTGTTACATTTATTGCAGACATTGTAACATTTATAGAAGACATTGTAACATTTATGGAAGACATTGTTACATTTATAGTAGACATTGTTATATTTATCAGGGATAAAAACTAACCATTTAAGCTTGGTGGCCACCTGGACCACTGACTGTAAAATTTTAGTGGCCCAGTAAATATTTTAGTGGACCAACAATTTATGAACGGAAACAGGGCAAGCGCTGGCAATTTTTTTTTTTGATCCAATTTTTTTGCAGCGAAAATTGTGTGCCTGTATTTTATTTTCAAATAAGGCAATATGGTACAGAGAAATTATTTAGAAAAACATTCACAGTTTTAAACTATATACATGTATATCCAATTTTATTTTGGTACCTACATTTTTATCACATTAACACAACAAACTTATATAATTTACAGTCAATAATTATAAAAGCTTGCAGCTCAGTAGCTATAACATTTGCCACGTTAAGTTGGGCAGCAAAGATTCCATAAAATCTAAATCAGTGGCATGACAGTGACAGCAGAAACACAATCCAATGTGCTGCTTCAGCTTGCTTGGTTAATGACAAAGATTTGTCTTGAAGACTATCTGTATCTGAAATAATAAAGAAGAAACATATTTGAAAGTAAGAAGAATGAAAGAAATAATATTGAAAAATTCTTAACTAAAGATAATTCAGGAATAAATCATGTGTACTACTCACTTCTGTCATTTTTAGTGTGCAGTAATCAGTATAAGTTACCTAAAGGAATTTTGTATGCTTCTTAACTGAATCTTTCTTTAATATTTCACAGTCATAAGTCATTTGAAAATGAATACTTCTTCAAGAGCTTTAGGGGTTACAAAACTATATTTGATTTTAAAGCCAAATTAAGGCCAATCTTTTTTTCCAGGAATTCCCTTTGAAGCTTCAAATGTCAAATAAATTCCTTGTAAAGGCAATTATTAGGTCTAGTCCAATATATTAGACGTTACAGGCTTGTTTATAGTTTTTGTCGGTCAAGCCCTGCCCAGAAGCTAAAAATATCTCAAAGCGATGTCATATTTATAGGACTATATTAGGTCAGAATTAAATGGCAATCAACCCCCCTCCCCCCAAAAATAAAATAAAATTAATAACACAAATAAAAAAACATTTACTTCTTAACTAATAATTCCTTTGATCTGTTTATCAACAACAATAAGAACTGAATGCAAACTTACCGTGAACAGGTCAAGTTGTCAACTGCAGAACATAATTTGTCGCTTTTTCATACCCAAAATTCTGATTTGATTAGCGATAATCTTTGGTAATCTTGAGATGCTGCTAGTTGTTGTTTTCATATTAAATATTAAGACCCAATTATCCAGTGCATGCGACAATTAGTGTCATATTTATCAGCTGATGTTAACAAACGGTGAGGGTCAGTGTATTAGACTGTGTTACTGTTCATATCGATATTTCATTGGGAAGGGAAGTTACAAATATAAACCAGTCAATGACCACAAAAAAAGTAGACTGTGTCGCTGTGTTTTGAGATAAGAAGCGTTAAAGCGGAAATTGTAAATGGAAAACCAAAAGTGTACTTTCCATTCTTAAAATAGCAAATGCTAAATTTAGACTGGATATTCCAAAAGTCATACTTTTTATCGTGACTTTCTTGAGCCAATTTAATAATTTTGGAGCCAATTTGCTCATTGGTTTCATTGAATTTTCTAATGGCAGATATAAATTTAATCTACAGTCGTTCTTTTATAGTCATAATCTACAGCCGTTTTTTTTAAGTCGCCGACTGGACGACTATTTTGAAATTTTTGGTAGTCCAGTTACAAATTTAGTCGCCGTGGGCGACTGGGCGACCGCTAATTTTCAGCCCTGTTTATAGCAGACATTGCAACATTTATAGCAAACATTGTAATTTTTATAGCAGACATTGCAACATTTATGGCAGACATTGTAACATTTATTGAAGACATTGCAACATTTATAGAAGACATTGTTACATTTATAGTAGACATTGTTATATTTATAGCAGACATTGCGACATTTATAGCAGACATTGCAGCATTTATAGCAGACATTGTAACATTTATAGCAGACATTGTTACATTTTTAGCAGACATTGTAATATTTATAGCAGACATTGCAACATTTATAGCAGAATTGTAACATTGATAGTAGATATTATTATATTTATAGCAGACATTGGGACATTTATAGCAGAAAGTGTAACATTTACAGCAGACATTACAATATTTAAACAATGTAATATTTATAGCAGACATTGTAACATTTATAGCAGGCAATGTAACATTTATAGCAGACACTGTTGTGTTTATAGCAGACATTGCAACATTTATAGCTGTCATTGCATGCATCTTTTATAGCAGACATTGTAACATTTAAAGCAGACATTGCAACATTTGTAGCAGACATTGCAATATTTATAGCAAACATTGTTGTGTTAATAGCAGACATTGCAACATTTATAGCTGTCATTGTATCTTTTATAGCAGACATTGTAACATTTATAGCAGACATTGCAACATTTGTAGCAGACATTGCAATATTTATAGCAGACATTGCAACATTTATAGCAGACATTGTTACATTTATAGCAGACATTGCAACATTTGTAGCAGACATTGTAACATTTATAGCAGACATTGTTATATTTATAGCAGACATTGTAACATTTATAGCAGACATTGTTATATTTATAGCAGACATTGTAACATTTATAGCAGACATTGTAAAATTTATAGCAGACATTGTTATATTTATAGCAGACATTGTAACATTTATAGCAGACATTGTAATATTTATAGCAGACATTGCAACATTTATTGCAGACATTGTAACATTTAAAGCAGACATTGCAACATTTATAGCAGATATTGTAATATTTATAGCAGACATTATAACATTTATAACAGATTTTGCAACATTTTCAACAGACATTCCATCAACTTTTTATAAAAGACATTGCAAGATTATAGAAAAGAAAAGGTATGGCATTCAGAATGGACTTTGTAATGAAACATTTACAGTTCATATTTTAACATTTACAGCAGATATTATACCAATATAAAAGAACCTTTTTAATATTTACAAGACAATATAAGCCATGATTAGGTTTGAAAACATTACAGAAAGAAGGAAACAGAAAGCCTTATAATTTTATGTACATAGCCAGAAGTCAATTTCTGCTTATAATTAGCACCTGTTTAATTGTGTTAATCAACATGTAAAAAAGAAAGAGATGTATAAATGTGCTTTTAATTATAAATGATGTGAAAATGCATCTTTCCTGGAAATGATAAATAGTTCCACAAGAATAAAGCTTTAAATTGATTGCAGAATACTTTGTTCTCGAATGATGAAGTTTTGAAAATTGGATGTAAGTTTTTGCTCCCCTGGGGAAACATTATTTTCTGTAAAGAAGACAGAACGTGTTAATTACAAGATTTGAAATCTTTCTGATAATATTTTTGCCAACAATGTTTAAATTACAGTTGCCTTACTCTATACATTATGCGCCTCGGTGGGTCTACTTTATATTAATAACATTGTAATAATTTGCGCTGAAGGAATAAAATTTTGCAGTCTTATTTTCTGCAGACATTGTCTTGGAGATATTTTTTTCTATCATATTGAAAATGTTGATACAAGTCATTAATGTGCCTGAAAATATATTTTTGAAGGATTTTAAAATTTTGAAATCTTGCACAAGTAAAAAAAAAGATTTTATTGGCTGGATAAAGGCTGAGGCTTTGCAAGCAGTATAAAGAGTGGCCTTACCCACAGATTGTTGACTTCCATTTTAAGCTGATTTACGTTAATGCTAAAATCTGTCAAAATTTTAATTGGACTGTTCTAAATTCAAAGCAGGTGAAGTCTGTCACATACATTCAACAAGGAAAGGGTTGAAATCAGATAGCAAGACTTATTATTCTTTAACCTACCAAATTTCTTAAATGGACTTGTCCAGGTTCTATTTTTGTAACTGTCAAATATCAAATTTGTGGAATTATTTGAAGATGCATATTAAAAGTTATTCAGCCTATAGTTTAGAGCCTCAGGTCAAAGGTCACGGATGTACAGCCTTCACAGGCTTATTACTTGAGTTACCAACAGGTTAAGAAATCATAGAGAATATAGATTTAATGTTTTCTTTCTTGCTAAGGATATAAAGATGTACAACTTTTAAATATCCTTTTAAACTTATGTATACTGTAATGGTCTTTGCTTTTTAATGCAATTTAATCTCTTCGTGTGACTTCCATCATTTGGAATTCACAAACATAAATAATATAAAAACTTGGATTTTATTAAAAGATGAAAGAATTCAGACTCTTTTCTGCTGCCTGTTATATTTGGTTATATTTTTATTCAGGGAAAGAGATCATACACTTTTTTACCAAATGCTATTTGGTAAATGTAAGTGATTGTCATAATTTAGCATGTATCATTTTAGGGCAATATACTAATTGCCATGTGTAAAATGCATTGACATTGATTATTTTACATTAAAAATCAATATTATTGATTTTGATTGGGAAAAATAAAAACAACACCATTTAATAATACTTTTAATAATTTCAATTTTTTAGCAATTCCCAGGTGATTATAGACAGATGAAAAGTTTACCAGAACTTATTACATTAATACGGAATAATTCAAAGTATAAGTTCTCTGTCATACATTGTACCATGTGTGTTATGTCACTATAGGGAACTGATACATGAACAAAACAAGATGAACTTCATCAATATTGATGAATTAACAAACGAAATATTGACAGTAGGTAAACATAAATATAATTCCACGAGGGTTCCTAATATTCATCCAAAGCCGATTTATGAGTTTGAACACTAAGTAGTGATGTTTTAGATGAACACATCTGAGTGCTTGTGGGTCTATAAACATTTTCGAGGGGAATGTTGATACTTTCGGTTTCCTCTATGTTGTATGGGGACTCGTAATCCTTGTGTAGTCGGAACTTTTTAACGAGCGTCACCATGCAAGCAATTGCCATTACTATTCCTAAAGCTGTGCACACCCCTGCGATTATTTTTTCACTTATGACCTTTTTGATAGCACTGTGATATTCCACATGATCTTTAGTGGTCAAAATCCGACAGTCAACTTTATACAATTCAGTATCATATACATAAACTATACAAAATTCATACAATGTTTTTGGTTTTAGGTTTGTTACCGTGTAACTACGGTACCTGGCAGCCAAAGGAATAACTTTGTATTTATGATTTTGATTTGTAATGTTTTGTTTATTATCTTTCTTTAATTCTCGATATTGTAATTGATAGTCTGAGATCATTGAATAGTGTCTTGTACCATTCCAAGATAATGATACATAATCAAAAGAAACTCTAAAAATAACAAGCCGAACTGGCTTATTAGTCACTGTAATCCGCGTGGAACTTAAATCCACGGCTATACCATTGTCTGCTTTACAAGCATATGTTCCGCTGTCACTTAATGTCAAGTAACGAATTATTAAAACACAACTATCTACAAGCTCAAATTTTTTACTTTGAAAATCACCGCTGACGACTGTTTGATTTGGTAGTAGCCAGGTAAGTTTTGGCTCAGGGACTCCATAAGCATGACATTCAATGCGCAATTCTTCACCAAGGTCCATTGTATAATTCTCTTTAAATGCGGGAAGTGTTGTCGGTGCACAGACACGACTGAATTTGTCCTCAGTTACATTTGCTATAGATGTTCCTGTTAGATTAAGAGGAAAATTACATTTAATGTATTGTGAATGATTGAAGAATGGTTTGCTATAATTTGTTGCAGTTGCTTCTGTAATTAATTCTTTTATCCAGAATGCATTGCAGTCACATCGAATCGGGTTTCTATAGAGATGAATTTCCTCCAAACTTGGTATATATTGAATCAAGCTTGGTGATAACGCTGCTATTTGATTATTATGCAGATATAAGGTACTCAAACTTGGGACATTGTCAAACGCTTGTGAGTCAACGTAAATGAGCTTTGGATTATCATGAGCTTCTAAAGTGGTAAAAAGTGGCAGGTTTTGAAAAGCATGTTTTTCAATAAAATGAAGTTCAGGCATGTAGCTTATTGACAAGTAAGCTACATTCATGCCTTGAAAATCTCCTGTATGTATTTTGCGCATAGGATTTCCGTCAAATATGAACTTTTTCAGAATTTTCATAAGATGCAGCAACTCTTTTGGCATCAGTTGCATTTGATTATAACTGAGATCTAGTATTAACATATTTGTTAGATTGCTGAACGCATTGTTATCTATAGTTCGAATTTTATTTGAAGACAGGTTCAGTAAATTAAGTTTACTCAAAGCACTAAAGTCATTAGTTTCAATGAACGTGAGAAGGTTGTTTGAGAAATCGAGCTCCCGTAGATCATCAGACACATCAGCAAACCAGTCAGGAGATACTCTGTTGAGCAAATTATCTGCTATATTAAATGACTTTAAATTATTCAAACCAGTAAAAGCACTGCTTGAAATATTAGTTAACTTATTTTTACTGATATCCAAATAATACAAATTGGAAAGCCCTGTGAAACAATACTGTTGTAAGTGGTTCAATTTATTGTTACTGAGGTTCAGATATTTCAGCTTTTTGAAACCGAAGAATAAATTATTGCATGTCAAAATTTCTATGGAAGCATTTGATAAATCCAGATAAACTAAGTCAGAAGAATACGGTAATTTTGTAACTTTTGTGAAATTGTTATTGGAGAGGAGTAACACTTCAGTATCATCAGGAAGCACTAAAGGTATGTCCTCCAGCCCTCGTCCAGCACAATTTACTGTGTTCATGTACTTTATTTCATTTAATATAGACACAGAAAGTTGTCCTTTATAGCATGAACACTCCCTCGGACAATTTCCTCCGTCCCAGATTTTGTTTTTCACAGTGTCATCAGTAGTTTCCATGTAATCAATGCTCTGAGTTGTTCCAAACACAACCACAATATTCATCAATGTGAAAATATTCATCCATGATGTCTCCATTGTTTGTTTTGTTTGTTATCCACTGCTATTTTCTTTTCCAAAGAAATTTGTTTTCTGAAGTTTTTGTCCTTTTTGTGTGGAAGCAGTCATTCTGAAAAGTAAGAACGCACTGATTGTAAATATTTTGAGACAAGAACAAAAGAAATTATTGAGCAATTAGTGTGTAAATTAATCACTTTATTAGGGGAACCTGGATGTTATCCAACAAAATAAATAACTTAAGGTCATGCAAAAATAAATTTGTTATCAGCAGGCTATCAGTATACCTGTAATGTAAAGATTATTACATTGCTAATCATCCATCAAATATGTCTGGTTTTTGTAATTTAAATGCTTAAAATACCTTTATATTTTCTCTTGATTTTTAAAGATAATTGTATTATAACTTTTTGTAAGGAAAAATCAAGTCACAGGTGTGGTATATTTTTTAGGTTAATTTATACAATTTTCATTATACTTCAGATATTTAACAGATACAAAATAACTTTGAATTTTTCTGAGGTTACCTGTCTAAAATAAAACAGGCCGTATGAAAAAATGATTGTAGATAAAATAAATTGGAATATTAGTTAATATGCTTAGCATAAATCTTAACAATACATTTACATAAACTTCAGAATGATGTCTTACTATATTCAGTTTTAATTCATGGGGTGCTCTACACTTAGATCTGACCGCATTTCTGCAATTTGAACTTTTTTGTTCTTAAATATTATTATCTAGCTAGTTTTACTGCTTGCAATGAAATAAAGATAAGGAATGATATGATATCAAAAAGAGTTGAAACTAAAGGCATAATGATATCAGAAATATCTCTAGACTTATGTGATTTATATATGAGCCGCGCCAAGACACAACCAACATAAGGCGTTTGCGACCAGCATGGATCTGGACCAGCCTGGGCATCCGTGCAGTCTGATCAGGAACCATGCTGTTCGCTATTTTAGACTAAGTTTCTCTACTTGTTATACGGTTCGTAAGCGAACAGCATGGATCCTGATTAGACTGCGCGGATGCGCAGGCTGGTCTGGATCCATGCCGGTCGCAAACCCATTATGTTGGTTTTGTCATGACCCGGCTCGTATATATCTGTTCATCATTTTCTCTTTGAAAAAAAAGTTTGAAGTTTTAATTAAACTTAAAAGCAGATTATACTGAAAGGAATAGTTACACAGAATCAGTGTGTGTGATATTTAGATGAAATCCAGTTTAATGGGTGAATAATTTGGTAGGAAAGGAATGAGAAAACTTTACGATTATTATATTATCAAGTTGAAATAACACAGTAGCCTTATAAAACAAGATAAAAAAGGTAGTTCTGGTTAAAAACTAAGAAGGTCTAGCAATAAAAACCTACATGAACCATATCATATCTTCCAGAGGTAGCCAATTTTATAAACCATGAGGCTTTCTGCCAGAAAATTTTAATTTCTTTACTTCTGTGCTGGAAATTTCATTCAGATATTTTGGGTGTAGTATTTTTAAAAGATAAAAAATTATACTTGAAAGAGTTTCAATAGAGTGTTCCTTGCTCTTTATTTCACTTTAAAAAAATGTTTTAAGATTTCAAGTAAAACTATATCATTTGATTTAGTGGGTATAGCATGTCTTTGGCAAAGAGTTTGACTGTATTTGGAGAGGGATTAAATTTACTTGATTGCATAATCCCTCATTTGAGAGGCATAATCGTAACTTAAAGGGACCATTGATATTTTTGACATGATTGGATAAAAATATTTGTGTACCATTAGATGTAGATCTGCGTGATCATTCCCTAACCCTGTTCTTCGAGAAAAATAATGACCAAAAATGAAAAACTCAAATCGGGCTAAGAATTGTACAAGAAATTGGTATTCAATTTAGTTCTGAGTATATTTCTAGATTATCCTCTACGAGTTTTTCCTTTTTAAGTGCTTCACTAGTCTTGATCTGTAAAAGAATTTCAAATTTTATGTTTTAGGCTTCCGAAACTTAGTGGGACTCCTTTAAAGTACTGTGAGGAACTTACACATATTACAGTGACTATTTATCATACTAAACAAGCCTACCTTTTATCTAAGACGACAGACTTGTAAATGTAAATTAGGAAACAATTTGTAAAACAACCTGGCCTTTATTGTTCTCTGATTGTTTTGCACCATTAATACTACACTAATTGAATAAACACATTTCATTGATTGAATATATTTTTTTTTTCTGTTCTCCCCAAGTCGACTAATGTTATTACAGAAACAAAGTAGCAGTAAAAAATGTATTTACCAAGTCACAGATTGGTTTTTGCACCTGCGCTCTCTGATGTATCATTAGTCAAGAAGTTAAACAGATTGTCTGTTTCATTCAGAGCTGTAAGTTCTATTAAATCATATAACACAGTGATGTGTGTAGGATTCATTCTATACATCATTCCTAACTAACTTCAGATAAATTAAATTCTTAAATTAACCAATTTTCCCAAACCCAACCCTCCCCAACAAAAACAAATAAAAACAACAAAAAACAACAACAAAAAACACACACAATCGTAACAAATGTATAAAAATCCCAAAAGTTTGTTGAATTTACTCCCCACCCCCCCCCAGGAAAAAGACATAACAACATATAACAAAAACAAAACAAACACCACAATATTATCAAGTCTAATAAAAATTCCAAAGATATATACTTCAAAATGCTTAAAACCCAAATAATTTTTATTGTATGAATTATGTAATTGTTTTGGGGTGATTTTTTTTTCAAGAATCCTCTGCGCAAATATTAGCTTATTAAAATAATCAGGTTTTGGATTGCTATGCTTCTGTCTTGCCTCAGCCTATCTTATCAAATTGTTGCATTTTTTTTTTGCATTCAAAGTATCTGTCTGAAATTGTTTCATGATAAGCTAACGAAACTGGGACTTCCTGTATGATAAAGAAATTGTAACAAGAATTCAATTATCAAAAGGCAATATTCCAAAAATTCTAATCATATATTATTTAGTTTGCAGGCATTCAACTTTATAGTGATTAAATTGAATCATCAGAAAGAAAGCATATTAGAATTTAAAGAGACATACAAATAAAATATTTTCATATTTCCAGAAATATCACGGAAATATTTTCTCATTCAGAGTTATATATTGCCCTTTTAGGGAAATTGAAATATGTATCAACTTGAATATGTGTGTAATGCTTTGGTAGGTACATGCTTTTTTGATAAAATCTATACTATATTTTTCTTCTTTCTAGAACTGTTAAAACTGATAAAAAAGACTGTTTTCTAAAGAATTTTTTTTATTAATATTTCCTAATATTGCACAGCTATGGATCCCTGAATTTTTGCTAGAGAAGGTCACAAAATTTCCACCAGAGGTATTGCATATTCCAGGCATTTTAGTAGTTTTCCTGACGGGGGAAGGGAGGGAGTCATGGTAAAATTACCGCCTCCATGGTCGAGGGGTTAGAGTCAATGACTTCTAATCCAGTTATCTCTCTGGTGTGGGTTCGATCCTCGGGAGATGATTTGGTAGTTTAGCACGGAGGAAGGTAGTCTAGTACTGGTGTAACTCTCCAGGAACGATGGTTAGGAAACTACCCGCCTACATGACTGAAATACTGTTGGGAAAAGGCATAAAATGAAACAAACAAACATGGTAAAATTTTCGCATGATTTTCACAAAAAAAAATGTAAGTTAACTTAATATCTATCCATGATATAATATTTTATACATAATACAGCCAAATCGTAAGAAAGATCATGAACCCTTAATCCCCCCACCTCAACCATATTGCATAATTGCAACAGAACATCAGTAATTATGACTTGAAAAATATTGGCTCATACTGCCTATTCTATGACTTACATTAAACTAACATGTAATTCCCAAATATAAAATTATCCTTTTATTCCAAGCCTGCAAATATTGCCATATTATGCCAATTTTATGCCTTGGGTATTATGGAGTTGCTATTTAATGGTATTTTTATGAGTCTGCAGCAAGAAAAAACAATTATCTATTAATAGATTTTCCAATGTTGTTATAATTCTTGAAGATATCTGGGAATCATATAGCCTATAATTGGCTTGTAATGGAACAGTGCCACTGTTTCACATGGCCAATCTGATAGCATTAAAAGAGTTAACCTCCATATTTTTTTCATTATCATCATCATCTTTTTTTTTACAAAGTGTAACAATTTTAAATTGCCTTTAATTAAATTGATATAACTTCCATTGTGATGGCTTTAGCACCAATATTATAGAACTCATCTCCTCTTTAAACGTACTATTTCCTTAAAAAAATTGTTAAATTTTTACTACAAGTTTCTTTGTTTCTGTAGGGATCATGACACTATCATCACCCAAATCACCTAAATCATAAATGATACATGTAAGTTTCATAACTCTAGCACAAACATTTTTAGAATAATCTTCCCTTTAAATTTAAGATTTTCCATAAAAGTGGTTATATTTTACATTTATCACACACCCGTGCTGATTTTGCGACTCCGTTAATATGGTATTGCACGGCCGTGCATATATTTTGATGTGACGTCATTAGCGTTATACAAACATAGCGTAAAGACGCGCTAAATGTTAGCATTTTACTATAAGCGCGTCATTGAAAAATGACTCTTATTTCACTTTAAACGGTCTTTAATTTAGGTATGTGATAAATAGAATATTAAATTCGTGTTATCTTCTCTTTGAATTTAACATGATATATTTTGATTTCTATCATCTTTGTTTCTTTAGGCATATCACTTCAGATTGCTGTCTTTTCCATTAACAACAAAAAATGTTTTTGTTACTATATGTATCTTATGTTTTACTTTCATTGACATAAATGGTATTTGGAGACATGGGCAAAAAAGATTGACCTTTGAATTCTATAGAAATACATTGTAATTGATTTTGTTTATAGTTATATGCCTGTTTTTACTAACAGTGTCTAGTATTGAATTAGTCCAGTGTGCGGTTCTTCTTTTTATGGTTCTCTTTATGTTGGTTTCACATCCAAATTTTTAAGGACTTTAAATATTCCCTCATAATTCTGTTATCTGCAAAAAATGTGTATTTTATAGCTTAGATTCGTTTGCAAATTAATTACTTTTCCTGAGACAAATTTTTGTTTAATTTAATTTAAAAAAAGTCTTTGAAGGGGAGCTTGTTAAATGTTTTTTGTAATGATTAAATTGGTAAACTGCATCTGCGGGCAATTAAAACATTCCACAGTTGTAGTTTGTAAAAACAGTTTAACAGAAGTTTGAAAGATGCTCTAATTTAAACATGTGCTTATAGGCTTAATTTTTTTCTATCTTCCAAGAACTTGGAATTTAAACAGTTATATATGAGTTGTTTACAAGATGTTATCTATAAGCATGCATGGTAAAAGTTTTCAAGATTATTCCTGATTACATGACTTTTAGAATAAAAAACCCCATCCTTTTCTGCAAATATCAAACTTTCATCCATTTAGTAGCGTTAAACACTCGGGTGTTACCAACTTTCACCTGAATATTCAAAGTAAAAAAATACACTGATGTAACCATATTTCACCCATTTATAAGTATATAAAGGTGTAACTATATGTAACTTTCAATTTTAACTTTGTGTGTTTGACACTAATGAAACATTTTAGCACTGAAAATAAAAATCAAATCAAAAACATTGAAAACGCATTTATTTTCTTATTTTCCTATATGTTACTCCTATCCCTATATTTGCAATGTTTGGTACATTTCTATGGTTTTATACAAGTCACTTATCTTCTGTTGCTTAAAATATGGCATTTAGTACTGTTATAGTGATTTAGTATTTTGTATGGAATTAAGAATATACTTCTTTGTTAACATTTTGCAACTTTAATGACAAATTGTTTCATTATTAATTTAGTGCTTTTTTCAGGTAACAAATGTCTAACATGTTCTAAAACCATTATTTAAATGTTATAGAATTCATGTTTGTCTTTTCTAAAGAAGTAAAAACAGATTTGTTTCTGGGTATACAAAAGTCATGTGCTTTTAAACCTTTTTAAGCCTTCTGGGACTACATTGTATGGACATTAAATAATAGAAGATATTTGTTTAATAATAAAATATATGGAGCCTTGGAGCCAATTTAGAATTTATCATGATTGTATAATACATGTAATAGTTATATTTTTAGTTGTATTATGGGGAAAAAAGATCTATCATCTCTAAGAAACAGGATTGATAATTTATGTGTGTCTTCTTGGAAGAAATATAATTAATTTTTCACTTTCAAACAAATCCTGTAATTTTTTATTAATTTCTAAAAACTGACAAACTTTATTTGAAACAAAATGTTTTGTCATACATGAGTCTTCTTCCTAATACTGGAGCTGAAATTGTTAAAAATATTTAAGAGAATAAAGTTATAGAAATTCAAAAACAAAAGATAAAAAAACCCCAAAAACTCTAGAAGAGCGAAATCACCTTTATCCTCAGGTAAACATGCAGTTTTAGAATTCAAAACATAACTGTTAATAATATATTATAAAAAGATAAATCTGTATTATTACCTGCTATATGATATAATATTTCCTAAATTACAATCATCACTAAAAGAAAAGTTATTCCAGTATATCAGGAATTTTAATACCACTTTAATCCTAGTGCATGCTGGGACTATACGATTTGATCCGACACACAAGTTATCAGTTCTCCTTTACTTCACTACGAGCTTGTTTTGCAAATGGTTATTGCGTATTTAGTGCTAAGAATTTCTCCCGCAGTATCTAATTCATACTTGTAAGATGTTTACCATTGGGTAGATTAACTTCCAGGTTCTATCCAATCTATATGTAAGACTTTTATATGAAGCTGAGCTTGTCAGATATGTTATATAAAGCATGAATGAATTATAAGTCCAATAGTATATTGCATCATTGCTTAGTTTTTGCGATTGATTTTTGCAAACAGTTCAAACTATTTAATCTGTAAATTTCTGTAATTACAGAAGCATTGTTTACTTAAAGCTGACATTGATCTTGTTTGAACTAGGGCTCACTCTGCCATTTAATATCCATTTTAGTCATTTGCTATATAAAAAAAAATTTAATTTAGTTACAAAAAATACAATTTAGCCACAGGATTTTTGCACATGTTAAGCTATTTTGATAAAATTTTGAAAGAAATCAGAAAATTACATAAATTTTGTGACCTGGATTCTATCAGTATAATTATGGATTTTTTTCTGTCTAATTAAAAATTTTATTACCAATTTCATAATTTAATTGAAACTGCATTTTTCTTTTAAATGCTTGATGTTTAATTAATTTAAAACATAACTGTAACTTGACATTAAGATTTTAATAAAGAGAATGAAGACAAAATCTAGAGAAACAAATACTTGCAGGGCCATTATGATTTCTACCATTAACAGGACTTAAATTAACATCCCCTTTCAAATGTTAAGACATATTTCATGAATTATACATGAGCAATTCATGAATATTTCATGAAGTAACTTCATGACAAATTATAACATGAAAGGAAAGAGACAATTTCATGAAATGTAGTTTCATGAAATGTTCATGAAGTATAAAATGCATGAATTTGCATGAAATGAAGCGCATGCTTTGTCAAAACTTCATCAACTTTGAATTAATCATCTCCTTGTACACTACATGCAAATATTCTTGTTCTTGAAAAATTCATGGATTATTATAACTGCACAGTATCAAAATATTTTTGTGGCAAAACAACTTGGGAGTCTCCTGTAGAAAATCAGAATAAGCTAACTTTACAGAACATTTAACTCACTGGGCAACTGCATCTCCATCTATATTATTTATATACATGTATATAATTTGTTTAAGCTGACACTTCACCTTAGAAAATGAACTGTCCACTAAGTCTATGTAACACTTAAAGAATAGAGAACATTGTCTACTCAAATAGCTTCTGCTGTAGATTCAGAAGATAAAGGAATTTATTGAGAGTGAGTGATTTCCTGGAGAGAAATTAAACTGATTAGCCCCATTGACATAGGACATAAGTGTTATAATAGCACCTTTTATGTTAGTCTATTAGGTTGTGATATAGTCATTTGCAAGGCTTCTTTTAAGACTATGTAAGGAAGTCATATGATAAAATAGAATTAATGGTCGAAACTTACTCGTTTTTCACCCTAAGAATTATGAAGGAAACTGACAAATGTAATTTCAGTGGTATAGAGTCAGGCAGGTTAGCACTTTATTGAAGTCAGTCTTTAGGCTTTATACTGTTCTTTATACTGTTGACATTGCGGTCTATCCTAGGGCTTTATACTGTTGACATTGTAATCTGGCCTTTGGTTTTATACTGTTGACATTGCGGTCTGTGTCCTTAGGCTTAATACTGTTGACATTGTAATCTGGCCTTTGGTTTTATACTGTTGGCATTGCAGTCTGATATTTAAGCTTTATTCAGTTGACATTGCAGTGTGGCCTTAAAGCTTAATACCCTTGCCATAGCAGTCTGACCTTTGGCTTTATACTGTTGACATTGCAGTCTGAGGCTGAATATTGTTGACATTGCAGTCTATCTTTGGCTTTCTACTGTTGACATTGCAGTCTCAACTTTGACTTTATACAATTGACATAGCAGTCTGTCATTGGGCTTAATACTGTTGACATTGCAGTCTGACCTTAGGCTTAATACTGTTGACATTGCAGTCAGAACTTTGGCTTTATACTGTTGACATTGCATACTGTTGACATAGCAGTATGCCCTTAGGCTTTATACTGTTGACATAGCAGTCTGAACTTTGGCTTTATTCTGTTGACATTGCAGTCTGACCTTAGGCTCTATACTGTTGACATTGCAGTCTGACCTTAGGCTTTATACTGTTGACATAGCAGTCTGAACTTTGGCTTTATTCTGTTGACATTGCAGTCTGACCTTAGGCTCTATACTGTTGACATTGCAGTCTGACCTTTGGCTTTATACTGTTGACATTGCAGTCTGACCTTAGGCTTTATACTGTTGACATTGCAGTCTGACCTTAGGCTCTATACTGTTGACATTGCAGTCTGACCTTAGGCTTTTAAGGGATACTCAGGCAAATTAATGACAAAAATATTAAAATGCTAAAACGACATTTTCTTAAACTCCCATCATGCATTTCTGTATAAATTCTATATATTTTGGGTTTGGAGCATAAAAATATCTACATATGTTGAACGAAATTTAGACGCCAACAGAATCACCAAGTAGTTTTTAAAACAAGTCATGTGACTAAATTGAACAAACCCTGGAAGTAGCAATAACAGATATTGTGAATATTGTATGATTGAAACAAGTCTAAGCAATTCATTTGGCATGTTCATTAATGTTTCCAGAGTTCACTGTGACAACTTTTGTGAAATTTTAACGCTCTAACCTGAACCACGCGGGTCAAGTTAGGAAACCAACATTTTATTCTTTATAAGAAGAAAAGTTTTGCTCCTGTAACTGCCTAGTGTATTCATTTTGAGGACATTTACTCGATAATGAATGAAAAATTTAAAACAAAGAAATGAAAATTTTGCCTGTGTCTCCCTTTATACTGTTGACATTGCAGTCTGAACTTTGGCTTTATACTGTTGACATTGTAATCTGGCTTTAGGATTTTTACAGTTGGCATTGCAGTCTGGCCTTAGGTTTTATACTGTCGGCTCCTACATTGGAATATTTTAATGTACTGAATATCAGGATAGTTTGTCATTCAGTTGTACACAATTTCAGCTGCAGGCTAGTAGTTAAGATTTTTAGCTCACCTGTCACAAAGTGACAGGGTGAGCTTTTGTGATCGCTTTTTGTCCGGCGTCCGTCCCTGAGGTCCGTCCGTCGTCCGTCCGTCCGTCCGTAAACTTTTACTTTAAATGACATCTCCTCATAAACCACTAAGCCAATTTCATCCAAACTTCACAGGAATGTTCCTTTGGTGGTCACCTTTAAAAATTGTTCAAAGAATTTAATTCCATGCAGAACTCTGTTTGCCATGGCAACCAAAAGAAAAAACTTTAAATATCTTCTTTTAAAAAACCATAAGAGCTAGAGCTTAGATATTTGGCATGAAACATCTTCTAGTGAGTGTCTACCAAGTTTGTTCAAATAAAAGCCCTGGGGTCAAAATTGGCCCCGCCCCGGGGGGTCATTGATTTTCCCTATATGCATATAGTAAAAACTTAAAAAACTTCTTTTAAAGAACCAAAAGAGTTAGAGCTAAGGCATTTAGCATGAAACATGTTCTAATAAGTGTCTACCAAGTTTGTTCAAATAAAAGCCCTGGGGTCAAAATTGGCCCGGCCCCGGGGGTCATTGATTTTCCCTATATGCATATAGTAAAAACTTAAAAAATCTTCTTTTAAAGAACTCAAAGAGCTATGGCTAAGATATTTAGCATCAAACATGTTCTAATAGGTGTCTACCAAGTTTGTTCAAATAAAAGCCCTGGGGTCAAAATTGGCACCGCCCTGGGGGTCATTGATTTTCCTTATATGTGTATAGCAGAAACTTAAAAAATCTTCTTTGAAAAAACCCAAATAGCTAGAGTTTAGATATTAAGCATGAAACATCTTCTAGTAAGTGTCTACAAAGTTTGTTCAAATAAAAGCCCTGGGGTCAAAACTGGCCCGGCCCCAGGGGTGTCATTGTTTTTAACTACTTGTGTATAGTAAAAACTTTAAAAAAATCTTCTTTTAAAAAGCCCAATGAGCTAGAGCTTAGATGTTTAGCATGAAACATCTTCTTATGGGTGTCTACTAAGTTTGTGCAAATAAAAGCTCTTGGGTTAAATTGGCCCTGCAACGTTGGGGGGGGGGGGGTTGGGGGGGCCTGTATACAGGTGAGCGACCTCAGGGCCATCATGGCCCTCTTGTTTATAAATTAATGTAGATGAATGATTTGAATTCTTCATAACTTGCTTTTTTCTGACTTGTTTTTTCTTGTATTGTATTGAAAAAGTATGATTTTCTGTATACTGCATTATTATAGATTTCAAGTTTCACCGTCAAAATCGTTGTCAAAATGTTTAAATCTGGCCAAAGCAAGATGCTAACCACAGGAATTACCTGTAACTTGTCAAAATGTGCAAAAAATGTCCTTATTCCACTACTCATTTAAGTGGGGATAAAATTTGTAACTTCTGACATACATGGTATAATACATGTACATTCAAAGCTTTAATTATCCTTGATTGTGAATATTTATAAAAAAATTTAAATTAAAAATAATTTTTTCTTAATTTTGATTTTTTGAAGATTTATTTTACTTATTTGGAAGTTACATATGCTGCTTTAAAACTGAAAAAACAAAAACAAGTATGATCTCAAGGTTATGTTGTTCTGCAATGCAGAAATAACTTGATTGCTTTTTATGTCACATCAAATTTATTAAGGTTGTTAAAGCAATTTTCCAGTTTTTATATTGATTACAAATGATTCCAGATGCCAATATGTGCTTTAATTATCACAGACTTTAGTTAGGTTAGGTTAGATTAGATTAAGTTAGGTAACATTAGGTTAGGTTAGATTAGATTAAGTTAGGTAACATTAGGTTAGGCTAGCTTAGATTAGGCTGCATTAGGTTAAATCAAATTAAGTAAGGTTAAATCAAATTAAGTTAGATTTAGGTTACAATTTGATACAATAATACAGTCAATACACAATTAATAATAAGATTATTTTTATGATATGATTACAATATTATATAATAAAACAAAGTACAATAGATTATGCGAGTTTTTTAGTTATAATTATGATATGATGGATAATAATTATGTCACCTAGGTTAGGTTAAGGAG